TTTTTTCTTTTTGCTTATGTGGTGCTGAGGAATCGAACCCAGGGCCTCATGCATGCAAGGCAAGCGCTCTACCACTGAGCCACCTTCCCAGACCCTAGATTTTAGTTTTTAACTATGAATGGATAACAAAAATCATTTTCAAAAGTAAATTCATGGTTGGAGGTGTGGCTCAGGCAAAGTGCCTGCCCAGTGAGTTCAAAGTCCTGAGTTCAAAGCCCAGTACCACCACAAAAAAAGTAAAGGAATTCAATAACTGTAAGAGGTTATGTTGAATATAATCAAACCTCTATTCGAATTAGCTCTATACAGTAACATATTAAATAACATGATGATATGGTCAGCCAAACACAAATATAGAAAATTCGCTGAACAAAAAAACCTAGTTTTTTCAACAAATATTTGATATGATAAATGAGAGGGGGAAATCTATTACAGATTTAAGACTCTTAAATACAAGGAGTAAGATTTGGAATCTAATTCAAACAAATTCTAGAAAATGGATAAATATAATTGGAGAAAATAGGCATTAGCAAGAACAAAAATTTTTGTTGCTTTTGTTGAATGAACTAATAGTATTATGCATTTTTAAAAGTCTGAACATATTGGTATCAAATTAAATATTTACAAATAAAATTATATAATATACATATTATATCAAAATATCTATAATACAATTATATATACATATATTTATCTGAGTTATAACATTTATTTTAAAAGACTACAGTGAACAGTTATAAACTAGCATCCAAGTTCTCATCCAACTAGGTATTAAAACTACTTTCATAGGATGAAAATGCTAAAGAGGAAGAAAAAAAATCAGTTTAGTCGTGGAACTCTTCAAAGTACCAAAAAATTTTAAAGTTAAATTATATTACACTATTTAAAAAGTATAAAAATTAATGTCTCAATCTTATTCATTTTGTTCTATTCCTCATCCCATCTTTTATTCAAGGAACAAAGTGTTTGTCAGTTCCTGTCACAACCAAAGTTGAAATGAAGAAAAAAATAAATTTAGTAATAGCAAAAACATCTGCATCAATTACTAGTAGGAACCATTTTGATAGATCTGAACAATGGCTGCAGCTTTTCAGGAATAATGCAACAACACTATTTCAGAAGCTGGAAGAAAAGATACCATTTCTACTCCAGGTCATTACATAAACATCTATTATAAGTAAAAGATGGACAACATGCTAAGACCAAAGTAAATCTGCAGAGGGACATATCTATTCTATATTCTAATCAAAGTAATGGTAACTTACCACTTCATGAATGGACCTATTAAAGCCATCGTCTTCTGTAAGGATCAACAGTATTATGAGAGCCATATACACATGGTGTGAATTTCTTTCTTCAACATGATACAGAATCTCAAGAATTGGTAAAACCTGGGAAATAAAAATATAATTTACTCTTTTAATATCTTATTAGATAAACAATGTTTTTCTAAAATTTTATACTTTTATTTTGTATCTTTTACTTTAATATCATAGTATTTTTTTTTTGTCAGTCATGGGGCTTGAACTCTGGGCCTGGGCGCTGTCCCTGAGCTCTTCAGCTCAAGGCAAGCACTCTACCACTTGAGCCACAGCACCATTTCCAGTTTTTTAGTGTTTATTGGAGATAAAGAGTCTCACAGACTTTCCCGCCTGGGGTGACTTTGAACTATGATCCTCAGATCTCATCCTCCCAAGTAGCTAGGATTACAGGCATAAGCCACTGGTGCCCGGACATAGTAATATTTTATAGATACTTTCTATTCACTTAGCTAAGACACCAGGAGAGAAAGTCATCATTAAATCTGGGAAGGTCTAGAAAGTCTACCCAACCTAAAGGCTAGATTTGCAGAGACTTAAATCATTTAAGCTCATGGTTTGAAGTTTTTAAGAAATTACATCCACAAAAGGTTTTATCTTTGTTGCTGTAGTTTTTAATGCACTATGTGATTTTTCTGGTTTCTTTTGTATGTTCTTCTTCAATGGTATAACCCCTGTTTTCACTGTATTTGATTCCTCACCCTGCATCTTATATATACATTGTTCTAATTTGGGGAGGGGAAGGGAAATAACAAAATGCTGAAAGAAGGATACAAGACACCATGTTGACAAGGTAGGGAAAGGATGGTAAGGGAAAAACAAAGGAGGGGGTAACAATGCTCGATATGAAAGTACTCATTACCTCACTCATATAACTGTAACCTTTCCGTACAGTATCTTTACAATAAAAAAATAAAACAACAAAAACAGAAATTACATCATCTTCCCCCAACCAAAAAAACAAAAGGACAGATACCCAGCTGCTCAGAAATTTTAAAAAATGTTTAAATTTATGCACCTAGTATCACTTGTATTTTAATGCTAAAAAGTAAAAAAAAAAATACTTTAAGCTGTTCAAGACACACTGGCTCAACATGAATATTGAGATGTACTCTTTTTTTGTGTGTGGGGGGGTCATGAGGCTTGAACTCTGGGCTTGGGTGCTGTCCCCTGCGCTCTTCAGCTCAAGGCTAGCGCTCTACCACTTGAGCCACAGCGCCACTTCCGGCTTTTTTCTTTTTGTTTATGTGGTGCTAAGGAATCGAACCCAGGGCCTTGAGCATGCAAGGCAAGCGCTCTACCACTGAGCCACCTTCCCAGCCCATGAATTCATATTTTCTTATTATGACACCATCTTATTCTTTGTTGTTGCTGCTTTTAGAAGGTAAATCAAGTAATAAGAGTCTAGCAAAGAATAGTTTTGACCTAATGTGCTATACTGTGTTCTATTTCACATAAAATATTTCTGATTGTACCACAATTAAATATTAATAAACAATATCTTCCAATCAGGTAGTACAGTAACTATAGGCTGTATTTTTGCATTGTTTCATAAGCATTTTGGTACTCTAAAAGTTGAGATAAGCCAGGCACTGAGGGTTCACACCTGCAATGGTAGGTACTGAAGAGTCTGAGATCTGAGGGACACAGTTCAAAGCCAGCCGGAGCAGAAAAAGTCTGTGAGACCATCATCTCCAATTAGCCACAAAAAGCCAGAAGGTGAGCTGTGGCTCAAGTGGTAAAGTGCTAACCTTGAGCATAAAAGCTCAGGGGCAGTGCCCTGGCCCTCAGTTCAAGCTCCAGAACTAGCAAAAAAAAAATAATAAAATTGATGTAAGTTATACTATAGGTTTAGTCATAGTGTATTAAAAAACATGGAAACATAGTTATATAATACTCACTCTTGTCCGTGTCATGTTGTACTGAATGGTTCTTATTACCACCAGAATCAGGAGACTACCCAGTGAAATCTCAGTTAAAACCCGTTCGGAATACCACGTAATGTTTTTTAATATCTAAAATGGGGAAGAAAAATTGAAGTAAAAATGATTACTTTAAGGAAAAATGAGTTATTCCATGTCTACAATTTTTGAGAAATCATGGCTCTGCTCTGAAGATAAATTAAGCAGTAAAAAGTAAACTCTAAGATTTTCAGTTCTAGTAAATAAACCCACTAATTTGTTCACTTCTCCTTTCTCCTTAAATAGAAAACAGACAGGTCTGCAAAGCAAAAAGGTATCTACTAACAACATCATTACTAGACAAAAAAAGCGATATATCTGAAAGGAATGCATATAGGATAAAAGTAAAAGACAATCCTATCTACTCAGAAGGCTGAGATCACAAGGATCAAGTCTTGAGACCAGGTAAATGTTTTCAAGACCCTATCTCAACCTATAAAATGTTTGGAGATAGAGGTAAAAGCCTGTCATCCCATTTATTCCAGGAAGCCTAATAGAAAGACTAGGCTAATAGACCAGGCTAGCCTGGGTAGAAAGTCAAGACTCTATCTCCAAAATAACTAAAGAAAAAAGGCAGGGAGGCATGGCTCAAATGATAGAGCACCTGTCTTTGCACAAGCACAAGGCCCTGAGTTTAAAGCTCAGTACAGCTCCCCACACCCCCCCTCAAAAAAAAAATAAAGTGACACATAAAATGAGTAGAATTTGGGAGCTTGAAGCAAAAATGAGAAAAAGTGAGTGCCTTTTGTAAATGAAAGTACAACTTTCTCAACAGTGTATAGAAAACCTAAATGTATGTATTTAGGAGAGAGAAGCTAGGAATGTAATGAGCTCTTGAGACCTTCAAGTAGAGCTGTGCAGTGTTTTGCTTGGCTGTTCAGAGCAGACAGCCCTGGAATATACCTCCAGGCCTCAGTAGCAGGAATTGTTTCCTGAATTAAGTTGAGATGTTTCCCTGATAGATTTGTAACATGGGTATTGGGAAGGGAAGGATGCATACACACAAAAGCTGAGCAGAACAGCAGGCAAAAGAAGGAAAAATATAACACTAACTAGAACTCCCTAATAGTCTTTTATATTATGCTTACTCTATATTCTTCCTCCTTTGACTCAAGAAGAGTCAATGTATCATATTCCCTGTATATGCAAGAAGAAACAGATTTCGAGAGGTTGTTCTTGCCCTCTCCACTAAGATACCCATATGCTGGGTGCCAATGACTCATGACTGTAATCCTAGCTACTCAGGAGGCTAAAATCTGAGGACCATGATTCAAAGCCAGCCAGGGCAGGAAAGTCCATGAGACTCTTATCTCCAATTAACTACCAGAAAACCAGAAGTGGCCCTACAGCTCAAAGTGGTAGAGCACTAGCCTTAAGCTGAAGAGCTCAGGGACAGTGCCCAGGTCCAGAGTTCAAGCCCCACAACCAAAAAAAAAAAAAAAAAAGATACCCATTATTTGGGCAAAGCCTATTTCTTAGCATTCACAACTGTCAATGAGGTGCCAGAATCTTAAAAAACAAATTAGTGGGGCTGGGAAGGTGGCTCAGTGGTAGAATGCTTGCCTTGCATGCATGAGACCCAGGGTTTAATTCCTCAGCAACACATAAGCAGAGAAAGCTGGAAGTGGAGTTGTGGCTCAAGTGGTAGATGGGCTAGCCTTGAGCTGAAGAGCTGAGGGACAGTGTCCAGACCCAAAGTTCAAGCCCCATGACCAAAAACAACAACAACAACAAAAATTAGTCTAGATTTTAGGTTTTTTTTGTTTTGTTTTTTTTCTGGGTCCGGTTGTGGGGCCTGAACTCTGGGCCTGGGCACTGTCCCTCAGCTCTTCAGCTCAAGGCTAGCGCTCTACCACTTGAGCCACAGCACCACTTCTGGCTTTTTTCTTTTTGCTTATGTGGTGCTGAGGAATCGAACCCAGGGCCTCATGCATGCAAGGCAAGCGCTCTACCACTGAGCCACCTTCCCAGACCCTAGATTTTAGTTTTTAACTATGAATGGATAACAAAAATCATTTTCAAAAGTAAATTCATGGTTGGAGGTGTGGCTCAGGCAAAGTGCCTGCCCAGTGAGTTCAAAGTCCTGAGTTCAAAGCCCAGTACCACCACAAAAAAAGTAAAGGAATTCAATAACTGTAAGAGGTTATGTTGAATATAATCAAACCTCTATTCGAATTAGCTCTATACAGTAACATATTAAATAACATGATGATATGGTCAGCCAAACACAAATATAGAAAATTCGCTGAACAAAAAAACCTAGTTTTTTCAACAAATATTTGATATGATAAATGAGAGGGGGAAATCTATTACAGATTTAAGACTCTTAAATACAAGGAGTAAGATTTGGAATCTAATTCAAACAAATTCTAGAAAATGGATAAATATAATTGGAGAAAATAGGCATTAGCAAGAACAAAAATTTTTGTTGCTTTTGTTGAATGAACTAATAGTATTATGCATTTTTAAAAGTCTGAACATATTGGTATCAAATTAAATATTTACAAATAAAATTATATAATATACATATTATATCAAAATATCTATAATACAATTATATATACATATATTTATCTGAGTTATAACATTTATTTTAAAAGACTACAGTGAACAGTTATAAACTAGCATCCAAGTTCTCATCCAACTAGGTATTAAAACTACTTTCATAGGATGAAAATGCTAAAGAGGAAGAAAAAAAATCAGTTTAGTCGTGGAACTCTTCAAAGTACCAAAAAATTTTAAAGTTAAATTATATTACACTATTTAAAAAGTATAAAAATTAATGTCTCAATCTTATTCATTTTGTTCTATTCCTCATCCCATCTTTTATTCAAGGAACAAAGTGTTTGTCAGTTCCTGTCACAACCAAAGTTGAAATGAAGAAAAAAATAAATTTAGTAATAGCAAAAACATCTGCATCAATTACTAGTAGGAACCATTTTGATAGATCTGAACAATGGCTGCAGCTTTTCAGGAATAATGCAACAACACTATTTCAGAAGCTGGAAGAAAAGATACCATTTCTACTCCAGGTCATTACATAAACATCTATTATAAGTAAAAGATGGACAACATGCTAAGACCAAAGTAAATCTGCAGAGGGACATATCTATTCTATATTCTAATCAAAGTAATGGTAACTTACCACTTCATGAATGGACCTATTAAAGCCATCGTCTTCTGTAAGGATCAACAGTATTATGAGAGCCATATACACATGGTGTGAATTTCTTTCTTCAACATGATACAGAATCTCAAGAATTGGTAAAACCTGGGAAATAAAAATATAATTTACTCTTTTAATATCTTATTAGATAAACAATGTTTTTCTAAAATTTTATACTTTTATTTTGTATCTTTTACTTTAATATCATAGTATTTTTTTTTTGTCAGTCATGGGGCTTGAACTCTGGGCCTGGGCGCTGTCCCTGAGCTCTTCAGCTCAAGGCAAGCACTCTACCACTTGAGCCACAGCACCATTTCCAGTTTTTTAGTGTTTATTGGAGATAAAGAGTCTCACAGACTTTCCCGCCTGGGGTGACTTTGAACTATGATCCTCAGATCTCATCCTCCCAAGTAGCTAGGATTACAGGCATAAGCCACTGGTGCCCGGACATAGTAATATTTTATAGATACTTTCTATTCACTTAGCTAAGACACCAGGAGAGAAAGTCATCATTAAATCTGGGAAGGTCTAGAAAGTCTACCCAACCTAAAGGCTAGATTTGCAGAGACTTAAATCATTTAAGCTCATGGTTTGAAGTTTTTAAGAAATTACATCCACAAAAGGTTTTATCTTTGTTGCTGTAGTTTTTAATGCACTATGTGATTTTTCTGGTTTCTTTTGTATGTTCTTCTTCAATGGTATAACCCCTGTTTTCACTGTATTTGATTCCTCACCCTGCATCTTATATATACATTGTTCTAATTTGGGGAGGGGAAGGGAAATAACAAAATGCTGAAAGAAGGATACAAGACACCATGTTGACAAGGTAGGGAAAGGATGGTAAGGGAAAAACAAAGGAGGGGGTAACAATGCTCGATATGAAAGTACTCATTACCTCACTCATATAACTGTAACCTTTCCGTACAGTATCTTTACAATAAAAAAATAAAACAACAAAAACAGAAATTACATCATCTTCCCCCAACCAAAAAAACAAAAGGACAGATACCCAGCTGCTCAGAAATTTTAAAAAATGTTTAAATTTATGCACCTAGTATCACTTGTATTTTAATGCTAAAAAGTAAAAAAAAAAATACTTTAAGCTGTTCAAGACACACTGGCTCAACATGAATATTGAGATGTACTCTTTTTTTGTGTGTGGGGGGGTCATGAGGCTTGAACTCTGGGCTTGGGTGCTGTCCCCTGCGCTCTTCAGCTCAAGGCAAGCGCTCTACCGCTTGAGCCACAGTGCCACTTCCGGTTTTCTAGTGCTTTATTGGAGTCTCATGGGAAACAAAGGAGGAGGCAACAATGCTTGATAAGAAATGTACTCATTACCTTGCCCATGTAATTGTAACCCCTCTGTACAGTATTTTCACAATTTAAAAAAAAAAAAAAGGGTCTCACAGACTTTCCTGCCCAGGCTGGCTTCGAATTGTGATCCTCAGATCTCAGCCTCCTGAGTAGCTAGGATTACAAGCGTGAACCACCAGCACCCGGCGAGATGTACTCTTTAGTAAACCATTTCATTTTATATGATATATTTACAAACATTTCATTTCATTTTATATGATCTATTTATTCTTTTTGTTCTAGTTCATTTTATATTCTCTGTTTGCAAATAGACCAATTTATTTCAAATCCCTACTTTAAATCTTTCAATTTATACATTCTTTACTAGTTAAGGTGAACAGGTTACTAAAAGTATCTATTAGATATGGGCAAACTAGCTACATAACATGCCACAATATTTCATACACTATTCACTGAATATTGAAAAATAAAGTAAAAACTCTCAAATCTAAATCAGACAATTATTATTATAACAAGTAAGTTATTCATATACATAAATCCCACATGCTGGTATATAAAGTCCATAAAAATAGGCACATTTTTCAGGGACACCTATTATAAGAATTCTGGGTGTTTTATTCTTTTGCAAGCTGTAGTTGAAATGTCTTCTAAATTATGAAGAAGTGTAGTACATAAGACTACTAAATTCTAGTAATTCAGAATTGTGTCACAATACTAGTCATTACTCTCTGTTTTCTTCTTTCATTAGCATACATTTGTTGTACAGTTAGGTTTCATCATGAATTTTCACACTTACCCGTGTATGCATGTAGTATGTGTTTGTATGTATGTATGTACTTATGTGTGTATGTATGTATGTATATTCACCTTCTTCATTAGCCCTCTCCCCTTCCTCTAGTACCCAATTCAAGCCTGTTTTACTTTCCTCTTTTTTATATTGTATACTAATTACACCAAAGGGTTTCTGTATTCAGAAATGCATGTATTGTCTAGTGCTCAGAATAACCTTCTCTATTGCTTTCTCCTTCCCTTTCCCCGCCAATTCCTTACTGATTAGGAGCTTTCATTGAGGTTCCTTATGCCATATTGATACAAAGTCAATTGCTCAAACCACTATGGCAGTTCCTTCTCTTTGTTTTGTCCCCCCCCCCCCGCCCCTTCCAATATAGGATCTCATTTTATGCCTAAACTGGCCTGGATTGCAGTAGTCCTGTGATCCTTCCCTTGGGTGTGGGGATATCAAGCACATACCACTGTGCCTGGTCACTGGTTGAGATGGAGTATCATGAACTCTTAAGCAACTGGCCCTGAACCTCAATTCCCTAATCTCTGCCTCCAAAGTAGCTAAGATTACAGACTTTAAACTACCAGTTGTGCTGGCTTTACCTTTTTATGTAAAAAGCCAAATGTAGAAAATAAAGAATTCTTAGACCATCTAAAAGAAGATATAAAATTCCTTATGTAACTTCTTCCGATACTAAATATCAAGTCAGGGACTTCATATCACTCTATGGATCTCCTTTTCTGTGACTCCACAGTAAAGTTTAAGTTAAAATGATATGAGTTGCATACTGCAATGTGTGTGCAAGTTTAAGATCTCACTCAAGGGCAGAAAGCTGGTGAGGTTTAAGGGAAGTATCTGCCCAATCTCTGCTTGAAAATAAAATGGCAGCTAACTTGAAATTCCTTTATTGAAGAAGGTACAAACACCATGGTATTAAAACATCTACTTATTATTTGTCCACAATCTCTTCCTTTAAAGAGCTCCTCCCCACAAGCCTCTCCAAATACCCTGTGGCTCTGATGGCTTATCATTGGTCAAAGAGTAGACATACAGCCCCAAAAGAGAATATTGGAGCCTTTCATGAAATTCTTATGAATAGATGTGTGTATATAAGTGCATATACATGTAATATGTACATCTACAAACATAAATATATACACATGTGCATATACATATATGTACATGTAATATTTATATATACTTTGTGTATACACATTACGTATATAATTTATGTGTGTGTGTGTGTGTGTGTGTGTGTGTGTGTGTGTGTGTGCCAGTTTGTTCTGGTGCTTGAACTCAGGGCCTGGGTACTGTCTCTGAGCTTTTTTGCTCAAGGGTAGCACTCTACCACCTGAACCACAGTTCCACTTTTGGGACTTTTTTTTTGGTGTTTAATTTTTTTTTGGTGGTTAACTCTTTTGGTGGTTAATTTTCACAGGCTTTCCTGCCTAGGCTGGCTTCAAACCATGGTGCTCAGATATCAGCCTCCTGAGTAGCTAGCATTACACGTATAAGACACTGGTGCCTGACTTATAATTTCTTCCTTTTAGATTGTAAGGACATGGACCCAGAGCTGCTGCTAGTGTCATTAACTCCATTTGGAAAGTGTGTACTTGACAATGAGGCAAATAGTATAGAAAGTAGTGGCAAAGGATGAATATATGAAAATATTCGTGCAAATATATTCCTTTTAGCTTAAGGTAGGCACTCATCAGTTTGTTACAACTAAAAAAAAAAAACAAACCAAGAGTATTTTTTTAAATGTCTAGCTACTTTTGTAAACTACTTTGTGGTGATGATAAAACAATAAAAATTCATGTCCCTATAGAGTTTGCTTAATAGACAAAAAAGATATTCAGGAATCATTGCTCTATTTTTCTAATAAGTGTTTAATGTCCTACCAGATTAATGAATATACTTGCACCGAAAGAAGTCAGAGGTTGAATGCCTATGGCTCATGCCTGTAATCAAAGCTGCTCAGAAGGCTCAGATCTCAGCACTGGCAGGAAAGTCCATGAAACTCTTATTTCCTATTCACCAGTGAAAAGCTGGAAGAAGAGCTGGCTCAAGTGGTAGAGCACCAGCTTTGAGTAAAAATGCTATGGAATAGTTTCCAGGCTAAGTCCAAGCTCTAGTAACAACATAAAAATGAGAGAGGAGAGAGGAGAGAAAGAAAGAGGTAGGGGAGAGAGGGAGGCTTTCAAGTATTACAGTCAATGCTCTATACAGACGTAGGAAGAAACAAGCTTTCTCTTTACAAGAGTTTTACTTAGGAGCAGTGTAGCTTTATATCCAATTTATTACTTTGCCAATATTCCAAATGTAGGTTCTTTCGTCATGCTTAATTTTTTTTGGGGGGGGAGGAGGAGTGGGGGCCCGTCTGTTGTGGGGCCTGAATTCTGGGCCTGGGCACTGTCCCTCAGCTCTTTAGCTCAAGGCAAGCACTCTACCACTTGAGCCACAGTGCCACTTCTGGTTTTCTGGTGGTTAACTGAGAGTCTCACTGACTTTCCTTGACTGGGCTGGCTTTGAACCTTGATCCTCAGATCTCATCCTAAGGAGTTAGGATTACAGGCATGAGCCATCGGCACCTGGCCCATCATGCTTTTTGTTCTTACTATAATTGTGATACAAAATATGCTCAGTGAAAAAAAATTACTGGTACCAGGATTTGAACGCCCTGTGCTTACTGGACTTTCTTGCTTGATTGGCATTCTATACTAAAGCCATGCCTCCAGCCCAGGTTTTCGCTGAGACATGGAATTTCTCAGACTTTTCTGCACAGATTGGCTTCAAATTATGATCCTCTGGATTTCACCTTCCTGAGCAGTTATGTTTACAGGTATGAGCTACCGTACCCTGCTGAATTCTAGTATTATAATGTTTCTTCATATACAAAATATTTTAAAGCTAAAAAACAGTAGTTACCAAAAGCTTGATGAAGCATCTTACAACCTGTAAAACTAGGGGCAGAGGCATCAGCCTGTTGCTGTCAGGCAGCTATTCGCTAATTCACATTGTTTGTTGTAAAGCAGTAATAGTTCAGTTTTCTACATACATTTCAAACAGTATATGCTGAGTGAAGTAGCTAACGTTACTCCTCAGAAAAACACTGTTGTTTACCTACACATTAGTTATAATGGAAATCAATGATTGCTTTTCAAGACTTTTTGTCCATGAACAAAAATGGTAATATTACTTTATTAACATCTAAGCGATTTCTGACAAGATGTCTTAGTCTAGGAACTACATTTATATAGCCATAGATCATAGGGCTTATATAAGCTCACAATGGTCTATCTCATACACATCCATTAGGAAACAAGCATCATGCACCCCGAAGGCACAGGACCCTTAAGAAACCACACTGAAAAAAAAAGTACCCTTCCTGTTATCATTCTCACCAGGAATCCACTGCAATTGTGACCAATTACATGAACCTGGTGGCAAGCAACTCCCAACTTTAATGGACAAAAAGAAACAGAATTCTTGCTGAAGGTACTTCCTTGAAGACTGAATCAGGCTGAATCCTGGGTAAGTTGGGTCTTCTAAAGGCCCCAAAGACAAGAAAGTTTGTCAGAAGAGAAGAGAATGCTGCCGTGTTCTACTCTGGGAGCCAACTCTGTGTGAACTGGTTCCTACTCCGGAGACATGCAGACCCTTTGACAGTGTTTAGTGGTATTTCCCCATCAACTTCTCAACTATAGCATAAGTGGCCACCTCTTGGCAAATTTTCTTTCTTCAAATTGCTATAAAATACACAAAACTTACAAGATTCTCCATATCTGTGCGGGCCAACATGTATGTTCTGACATTGCTGTTCTGATGGAGCAGTGTGTATAAGAGGAGCGTTGCTTGATCAGATGTCTGTTGTTCACAAAGGGCTGTGTACAAACTGTTAAAGTTAATCTGGAAGGCATGTGGAATTGATGAGGGAAAAGGACTGCTGTCTGGAATAGAAAAGAAAAACAGTCATAAAGAATTAGAAAATAACATATGAATATTTATGGGAAGTCCCTACTTTTCAGAGTCAAAAATTTCAATTGATATTTTAAACTTTATTTTGAAAAGGGATAAAGTAACTAAACCGAGTCACGTAGTTTGTTACTATTTTCTCAGCTATAAGTAAAGGCATCATGGCACACTGTATGCACCTGTAATCTTCTGCCCTTAAAGACAGCAATGAAAAAAAGGATCTCTAAAAGATACAACTTAGGACACTGAAAGACAAAGATGACCAGTCCTAAATTTCTAGAGACAAAAAAAAAAATTACAGCTTCTATATAAAACAGAAAGCTCTTTCATAAAATAAGGCTTTTATAAAACTATGTTGAAGCTAGGTTCATTTATTTTAAGAAAATAAATCATGTTTGAAAGATTCACCTTTTTTTTCTGGGTCTGGTCGTGGGGCCTGAACTCTGGGCCTGGGCGCTGTCCCTCAGCTCTTCAGCTCAAGGCTAGCACTCTACCACTTGAGCCACAGCGCCACT